AACTCAGAATAAAATTATCTATGTATCAGAATCGATACAGTGCTACAATACTACATGTACTCATATTAGTACCCTGGCCCAGTTATTATTTCTAATATTATAGCTCTACTCCTTTTTTTGTAAAGGCACAACTGAATTAGTGTAAAGGCTGCCCTAGTTTCGTTTCTGATCAACATAAAATATAAACTACTCTCTGTGTCAGCTTATGTGGTGGTATTCCTCCTAAAGCTGTGATTAATTTTATACACTCTCTAAAATAGGCCAATTTAAACGTTCAGTGGGTTCATAGTTTGTTAAGACCATAGTAAAGTATTTATTTGCTAATCCGTTATAATTTTTAAGTTAATAACATAGCGCTGTCTGCTGTTATGACGCAATGTACAGACAGCCGACAGCTAAGCCATGTCAGCTATAGTCATGTTAATAGTAGATTATTTTTCATTCAATGGATGTAAATTTTGTTTGAAAACATTTTACCGGTTATATTATTTATTTAGCCTACAGTTAAAAAAGCTAATCATCGACTGATTACTAACTCTTTTGCCACTGGTTAGGGTTCCATTATCCTGTTAATGAAACCAATCAAGAAAACAAATTCATCAGCATTGATATAGGTACATATTTTTGGTTAGTGAAACATAAAGAATAGGAAACTACCTCTAGGGTTTACTGTTATAGATTCTCTCTTTACTATATAGATAGATTGTATATATATACAATGCATGTTGGGCTATATTATTTTAACCTTTTTTTCCTTGGAGCAACAGACAGTAGATACCTGGTTAAAATCTACTCCAAACAATTTTATTTTTCCGCCCATTGGAATTTATTATAGTAATTAATAAAAGGAATATATGTATTGCCTGTACAAACCTATTTCAAATTTTATTCCCAGGTTATTCTCTAGAGTAACTGTTAAGGTTGTTCCACTCGATACAAAGTATAGATTAAACACTACAATTACGTGTCAAATTAAATGTTATGAAATTTAAAACAAAAGTTTTGAATAAATTTTCAACATATGTTTTGAAATAAAAACAAAACAGGAGTTTTCTAACTAATCTTGCATCGTTGATTATTTAGTCAACGGGGCTATTTCATGTTAAACATTCCTTCAGCACAACAATAACCTACAAATGTGAAGAAATGTAATCAAAGTAAAATAATTTTGTAAACTTCGTGAACATATGTTTAAAAAACCAAAGCTTAATTAAATGTTTCAGCCATTCTACTTCCATTTACTTTGATTTTAACCATCTCCCACGATTCTACTAAATTTCATGCGCTTGGCTAATTTACATACAAATACACAAATTGAAATGAAGTTCGAATCATGTAAAAACAGTTCTTTTAGTTCGTCATTTGCTTGTGGTTGTGGCATGTCCATTGTGGCAACATGCGTTGAAATGTCCATTTGTGGCCTCCTCTGCAAAATGAAATGCGCCACAATGCATGCAAGTGCTTTAAGAGGACCTATATTGTGAGAAACAACAATCAACTAATTTTCCAGCGTTTTTCTAAAACGGCTTCTGGATTTCTTTCACAATTAGGCCTTACATGACGTTCTCTTTTGCATTTCTTAAGTCTGTTGAATTCCTGGACACTCTTCCACGTCTTGCAGGTCTTCCCCTACCCTGTCTAGTTACTTCACTCATTATAAAAACGGAAAACAAAAAAATTAAACACAATCCTTTTTGAAACATTATTTACCAACATTGTCTTTCGGAATAAATTGCAAATAAATAAGTAACAGCTGATAGAATGCAGACGTTTTTCAGTCCCCATGCATTTCTTATGGTGGATATTTTACGTTATATCTCGTTTTCTGGTAGCTTTATGGGAATTCTGCTATTTTTCCCGAGTCCCTGGGGTCAATACCTTTAATTTAAGACCCCTCCCACTTTTCTGCGACTTACCAGACGTCCACAATTTTCTGGTAAAAATTAGGTCTTACAGAATTATATATATAGATAGATAGATATTTAATTTCCACAAAATCAGTTAATGTAACCAATGCGTTTCGTTGAATTGAAAAACAAAGAACACAATTAAATTAAACAGCTGATGTAAACAATATTATTTTCTTCGTAAGGATAACATGGGAACTTAAAATGCCACTGTGGCAGAGGCCAAGGGACTTTTTCAAAAATTGTAGGCCAGTTTGCAAATCTACGCAACACGTTCTTTCCAATGAGACGTCAGTGGATAAAATCGGTTAAGAAATGGTGGAGGATTCAACCGACAAACTTCGTGTTCGCGTATTAATTATATAGATTTCATATGTGCATGAAATGTTGGTGTGAAACCAACTTGTATAACTTTAAGCTAAATGGTTTAAGTTACCTGGCTTCGTCAAGTGATCCTTCATCAGTATTACACTACTATAGTTTCGGACTTGAAAATAAGTCCATCTTCAGAAAACGTCAATAGGTCATCTAACCAAATTGGTTAGATGACCTATTGACGTTTTTGTTAATCTGAAGATGGTCCTCCAGAGGCTACCTCACCATGTATACCTTTGAAGTAGAGGCTATATTTATTCCCAAAAGGTATCAAACGCCAGCTCCTGATCAAATCTTTTCTATCACTTTAAAGTTTGTTTCGTGTTTTTAGTCTTCACGTACAGAGACTTAAATCTTTGTATTAAATTGTTAGCAATCATAAATCGTGGACAGAATCTTCCACAAAAGATAAATACAATATAGTTTAACACCCTAGAACTCCTTAAAAAAATATGTTTTGTTAAGGCTTCGTCATAATGTTAAAAATACTCAATACAACAAATTCATTAATTTTACATATGTAAACGTTGATAGTTGTGTGCGTATACATCTAGTCCTCTATATTTTCTATGTACACAAATGCTTCTGTATACACTTTTTTTGCAACTCACAGTAACTGAGAAATATTCTAAACTGGTGAACTGTTTTTATAAATTTTTGCCATTATTTCTCAACCCGTGCTTAAAAAATTAGTGACTCGTGGATAAATCCAGATACAGAATTTAATCTAAATCGGACCACAGGTTTTGTCTGTAGCTCTGTATCTGGATCATACAAGTGTGTATTATATAACCTGATATTAGTCAAAATATGTTTTATTCTATAACGTTTAATTTAATTAAACATAAAAGTCATGCTCCCTCCATTTTTAAAGTATTCAGTCCAAAAATGTAATAAATTTACTATATTTATTTCGTTTTAATAAATAATTGAGGTGATGCAATACACTTATGTAGGCAGTCGCAGCAGTCGAATCCGGGCATAGCGCCTAAAGTTTCACGAACGCAAACCGCGCAACGAGTAGCTAAATGAACCGTAGAGTAAGTGAGCCATCTAATATTTTGAAGAGGGTTCACTTACTCTACGGATCATAGTGCCAATGAACTGTAGAGTAAGTGAGCCATCTAATATTTTTCTGCAGGCTCGTATAGTATACGAGCCTATTCCTATAATTTATATTATTCATTATTTTGGCTCGTATACTATACGAGCCGATTCCTGAATTATCAAATAATTCGTAAGCTTGGCTCATAGTCACTATGATCTGTAGAGTAAGCGAACCTTCCTACTGTATTTTTAAATATAATACACGAGGCTCATAGGCACAATGATTCGTAGAGTAAGTGAACCCTCTTCATTTATTTTTTATTTTCGATAGGCTCGTATAGTATACGAGCCTGTAGTGCAAGTGAACCTTCAATATTATTTAAAAAGCTCGTATAGTCTATGATCTGTAGAGTAAGTGAGCTGTCCCCGTTTTGCCGGCTCGAGATAGTTTTTAAGTTCGAGACGAAGTCGAGAACTTAAATCGATCGAGAGCCGCAAAACCATTTCGGTCCGTGGTACGAACGCTATTTTTCACCACACTATACCCTATTACCACTATTCACCACAATAATAATGCACACTGATAGTCAACACAACTACAACTTTAAGGTTATGTGAAGAAATAATTTGAGGAATCAGCAAAAATAAAAATATATAGTTGCTAGGCAACGGTGACAATAACACAATTCTATTGAAATGCTATGGATTTTGATTATGTATTTAAAATGCATTCATATGTTTTAAGTAAGTAAGCGGACAGCTGATTTTGCGGCCCTGGCCTGTAAAAACCTGCTCGGTCCCCAAATTATGGACAGCTGGCATCGCCAGCAAAACGTAACTTTCGGCCACCAATTAACGTATGTAATACAGCCAAAAACATGATAGTGTGGTGAAAAATAATTATGAGGAACTAGTTGCAGTTGCAGTGCAGTCAAGATAAATATTACGACAACGACGCTAGTTAGTGGTTAGTGACCGTGACTTTCTGAAATAGCTGCTGCTACGCCACCAGTTACTACTTACTAGCGCATGCGCAGAAGCGCGGCATTTTCCGGTCTTGAAAGGCTCGCGTGTTGCGAGTGCACTTTGTTTGTTTGGTTGCTGTTGCCCATGCCGACTGCCGTTGCCGATACTGATACTAGCCAGCCATATCCAAATAATTTCGGATTCGGAATTTCTTATCAGGGAGTCAGGGACTAGGGAAGGGACTGACTGGCATTGGCAAGTGAAGTGGCTGTAAAGCCCTATTATTAGGCGAGGGCGAGGTGCTAGGTGCAGTTGAGTATGCATGAAAAGAGTCAGAGATTTTGACTTTTGATTAATCTGCGAAAAACGTTAATCAGAAAACCACTTTTAACTCCCTTGTTATTGAACGTAAGTAGAAGACTCATTTAAATTGACTTTTGATTTTAGTAATAGGGGCCTAGGTGAGTGTAAAAACCCATGTCGTCGCCTCCAGGGGTGGTCGACAACATAGGGGTGGGGGCGCAAAGTTGCGAAAAACGTTAATCAGAAAACCACTTTTAACTCCCTTGTTATTGAACGTAAGTAAAAGACTCATTTAAATTGACTTTTGATTTTAGTAATAGGGGCCTAGGTGAGTGTAAAAACCCATGTCGTCGTCTCCAGGGGTGGTCGACAACATAGGGGTGGGGGCGCAAAGTTGCGAAAAACGTTAATCAGAAAACCACTTTTAACTCCCTTGTTATTGAACGTAAGTAAAAGACTCATTTAAATTGACTTTTGATTTTAGTAATAGGGGCCTAGGTGAGTGTAAAAACCCATGTCGTCGCCTCCAGGGATGGTCGACAACTTAGGGGTGGGGGCGCAAGGTTGCGAAAACCGTTAATCAGAAAACCTATTTTAACTCCCTTGTTATTGAACGTAAGTAGAAGACTCATTTAAATTGACATTTGATTTTAGTAATAGGGGCCTAGGTAAGTGTAAAAACCCATGTCGTCGCCTCCAGGGATGGTCGACGACAAAAGTGTGGGGGCGCAAAATTGCGAAAAATGTTAATCGTCAAACCGCTTTAACTCCCTTGTTATTGAAGGTAAGTAAAAGATTAATTTAAATTGACTTCTGATTTTAGTAATAGGGGTCTAGGGTAAAGACCCATGTCGTAGCCTCCAGGGGTTAAAGTTTTAAGTCTCTATCCCGTTTCGAAATATTTAAGAAACTAACACTGATGTATGTCACTTTCAAGCTTATTCCCCATAAGAATAACATGGGAAACTGTTATAGCCTCGTAACGGTGTTAGAATCTTTCAAATTTGTACATTAAATTTACATTTTAGGGGTGAAGGAGCTACGAAAAATATGTAGTGATTGAAATTTAAAGTAATCTAAGGAGAGTACAAACTATTAATAATTTTAAAAAAGGAAATTCAATAGTTTGGAAAAGTAGTGAAAACCATTAAAAAATGGAACAAAATTTACCAATTTTTGAAACATGTCAATTTTTGGGGGTGAAGGGTTGTGATTTTCGGAAAACGTCTAGCAGGGTTTTGTAGAAAATTTAATTCCTGATCATGTTCTTCGTTGCAAATCTTTTCTAGCTTTTACCCTTTTTTAGTTATAGCCGTTTTTAAAAAACGTGTTTTTTCGTTTTTTGATTTCCACCATTTTGGATTTTTGGTCGGATTAAAATTTTACAATGGAACTTTTGGGAATTTTACCGTTAGTTTAGAACCCCATATTACAATACCATCAAATTTAAATTCTCTAGCACGTTTCTAAACGAATCAGATGAGCATACCAAAGTCTTTAAATTTCATAGTTTTTCTCCTTAAGAATAACATAGGGCTCGTAAAAGTGGCAAAAAAATTTTGGAATTAAACCAAAGTTTTGGTGTTGAAGAAGTAAGGTTACGAAAAACATGTAAAGAGTAGAATTTAAAGTAAACTAAGTTAGATATTAAGAATTAATAATATTTGCAAAAAAAATTCTTAGGTCGAAAAATATAGCGAAAATTATAATACATTAAAAAGAAATTTATAAAAATTTTGAAAGTAGGGCGTTTTTTCGAAGGTGAAGGAATGCGATTTTCGAAAAACGCTTGAAAATGTTTTGTAGAAAATTTAGTTCCTGATCATTAAAATTCATCCAAATCTATTATAGCTCTTACCGTTTTAGAGCTATAGCACAGATGTGGCTATAGCCATTAAAAAACGTGTTTTACTCGTTTTTAGGTGTCAGCCATTTTGGATTTTTGAGGGGGTTAGAATTTGAAAATGGGACTTTTGCAAATTTCACCGTTAATGTAAGATCCGATTCGACAATATTACAAAGCTTTAAGTCTCTAGCACGTTTCTAAACGTTTCAGATGAGCACACGAAGTCGACTACTTTCAATTGGTTGTGTTGCTAGCCTAGTGGTTAGCGTCTCGGACTTCGGTGCGGGAGGGACGGGTTCAATCCCCGGCACATCCACTAAACTTTGATGGGTTTGGACCGCTTTCCCTTAAAAGTGTTTGACTTCATTAGAAAAATGCCACTGGCGTAGATAAAAAAAAAAAAAAAAAAAAAAAAATGCTATCACCCTGAGAATAAGATAGAGGGGAAATTTCTAGATTTGGGAGGGGGGGGGGGTTAAAATGTGAAAATGTCATTTTTAAGTATTTTGTTTGGGCCCAAGACCAAGAAGCGTTTGGGCAAGACCAAATTTCAGCTCCCTAGCAGCTCTTTTTACACTCACCTAGGCCCCTATTACTAAATGAATCTATTACTTACGTTCAATAACAAGGGAGTTAAAAGTTGTTTTCTGATTAACGTTTTTCGCAACTTTGCGCCCCCACCCCTATGTTGTCGACAACCCCTGGAGGCGACGACATGAGTTTTTACACTAACCTAGGCCCCTATTACTAAAATCAAATGTAAATTTAAATGAGTCTTCTACTTACGTTCAGTAACAAGGGAGTTAAAAGTGGTTTTCTGATTAACGTTTTTCGCAACTTTGCGCCCCCACCTCTATGTTGTCGACCATCCCTGGAGGCGACGACATGGGTTTTTACACTAACCTAGGCCCCTATTACTAAAATCAAAAGTCAATTTTAATGAGTCTTTTACTTACGTTCAATAGCAAGGGAGTTAAAAGTGGTTTTCTGATTAACGTTTTTCGCAACTTTGCGCCCCCACCCCTATGTTGTCGACCATCCCTGGAGGCGACGACATGGGTTTTTACACTAACCTAGGCCCCTATTACTAAAATCAAAAGTCAATTTAAATGAGTCTTTTACTTACGTTCAGTTACAAGGGAGTTAAAAGTGGTTTTCTGATTAACGTTTTTCGCAACTTTGCGCCCCCACCCCTATGTTGTCGACCACCCCTGGAGGCGACGACATGGGTTTTTACACTCACCTAGGTCCCCATTACCGAAATCAAAAGTCAAAATCTCTGACTCTTTTCATGCATACTCAACTGCACCTAGCGCCTGTACTATATCCTCTTCCTGAGAGGTTATACAGTTTAATTCATACATTTTTATTTACTTTTTCAAATTATACTGAAAAGATAGTGTAAAATGCCATGTCTTTTATTTAAGTGTTTCCTAGACTAGTTTACATCTTTTATCGGTGATATGTTAAGTTTTGATTGTCTAGACAAGAGAAAATGATCTAACACACACAATATTTGATTAGGTTCTTTTTGGGACCGGGTACAGTTTCTTAACTGGGCTATGCTAATATCGATTCATTAGTAAACCTTCATGCGATATTTTCACTATCAGCGAGTTTGGTTAGTTAGGTTAGGTTATGACAGTTTCATTTTATGATAGATGGGTACACTTCCATATCTGTTGGCACAAACAACCGAATGAGTAATATAGATTATTCGATTGTTTAATTCGATATATCGTTTGGTTAGTTAGGTTAGGTTAATCTCACGATAGGTACCGGGTACGTAGTCAGGGGGCTTCGGCTCTCATGACAAAGAAATAATAATAATAATAATAACTAAACAAACGATCTATTGTATTAATCTATACGCCTACATCGATCGATATTTCATACGGTTGTTTGTGCCAACAGATATGGAAGTGTACGGTACCCTAATAGATTTAAAACAACCGGTAAATCTGGCCTTTTCTTTAAAACGTTTTTAAATTATTCCTCCAATCTTAATAAACAAAAAATTCCTGTAAAACATTTTTTTAAGGCGCGGAAACCACTGCAAATTACAAAAATATACGGAACTATTTTTTCAAATCGCGGAGCACATCACTTGTCGAGGAACGAGGAGCGGAGTGGTACTGACTGGTGACTACTTTCTTTTGGGCTCCTAGAATGATTTGTGTTACCAGCTGACCATTGATTTAATATTGATTGTCAATTTTACGGCAATTTTTAATCACATTAAAATAAAATGATATTTTTATATTCTAAACTAACCTAAACTAAACAGAACGTGCTGTATGGTTACATAAATTGGTTTTACAGCAGGAAAGGCATGTGGGGAAGTCAGGTCGTGGTTTATGAAAATTCGTGGCTCCATTAAGTCCTTTGAAGTAAGGTTAGATTACGGTAGGTAAGTTAAAGTGTAGGTTATAGGTAATCGGGTCGTTAATTTTGTATTGCACCATATTGTTTTTTATCTTTTGGAATAGTTGGTTAAACGGGGAAACGATTTCAAAAATGCAAGCATCATATGCTTATCATAGCCTCTTGTAATTTAATGCAAGGTCGCAGCGAGGGAAATTTAGCAACTCCGCAGTCCCGGCCTAACGAGCCAGCTGTAGTACTGATTCATGTTGAGTGACTGTGGAATTTTTTATTACAGTATCATTAAATCAATTGAAATGGGAACACCACATGGGTGCGTATTTTCAGTGGCGGTTCCAAGGGGGGGGGGGTGGCTATACGGGCTTAAGCGCCCCCATTGGATCCTGCAAAAATTAAATTTAAACATGTTAACTATACAAAGGTTTTTGAACACAATTCAAGATGTAAAAATGGCTTTAAGAAGCGCCAAACAGCTTAAAGGGATGGTTAAAATACAAAAATTTTCCAAAACGAGGACCCTCCTTTAATGAGAACACCCCCCCCCCCACCATGACAAGGTCCTAGAACCGCCACTGCGTATTTTAACCCAAAATATGAGTAAAGGCGAGTGTAAAATGTGTAAGTGAGATGATCTGTGTAGAGTTTTTAGATCAGCTTTTCCAAGTCAGGATCATGCTGCCATAAAGATCAGAAAAAATTGTTGTTTTAAATAATTCTTATTGAAATTTGCCATTAGGCTAAATCAAAATGAACGAGTGTATAATGACACTACAATTAATCTTAAGGAGCGGAAGAATCTGACTCTGACACTATTCTATGTAGGTACACATGAAAAATGAATAAAGTTATCTTGAATCTTGATGTGCATCCAATTTAGAAAGCTACCTCAGTTATTAAAATGCTGATCAGTTAGTAGGTACTGTAACTTAATAAGTTTATTATTTTAATATTTTGATCTTTAATTGTATTAATTTCAGGACGTCATAATGCCATCTTTATTGGAGTACTCAGAAGACAATTTTATATTTGAAACTTGTTGGAGTGATTTCTCTCATGTAAACTCAACATTTGATAAAGCATTGATTACTAAATGGACAGCGTTACAAGATGAAAACAAATACTTTAAATATAAGTTACATATCAATGATTCAAAAATATTACCAGGAAAGTTTAAGTATTTAGCACAGGTTTGTATTATAGGCCTACCGATATTCAACTAAATTTAGGCTTTTACTTTATGCAACATGTTGATATTGTTTTGTGTCTCTAAGTAATCTGGATATCAATTAATAATGTATATTATAGTTGAATTAATTGTTGTCAGTTTTAAATGGGACTAGAAAATTTTAAATTATAGCCAAAAGCCTACGGCTGAGCCTCCATTCATTATTATCATCATTCCCATAGTTTTTTATTATGCTGTTGTACTTGGTAGGAATATTCCCATTGCAAGACATTATCCACGATGCTGCCATGCTGGGCTTTCAGAGATTAATAAGAATGTTGTCATGATTACTAGAGAGGAACGGTTTTATTAAATTTGAATTTAACTAAATTTTAATCCTCAACCATGTTGGGATAGCAGAGGGTTAGTTTCCAAATAACTTATAGTTGGCTACTACAAATCATGGGCAAACATGGACAGTTTGGCCCAATAGCTTTTTGCATCATTAGTTATGAAATGAAATGAAATAGTCCTAAGACTGATAATCAATATTATTTATTGCATGTAACTTGAATTTTATTCGCCGTATTAAAAACAACAGTGAACGTTTCAGATTAGTTGGCTGTGTTTGGTTTTTATTATAAGAAATACTGCTAAATCCCAATGACGATATATTATTTTAGATCTAAAATAAAATACCTCTTCCTTGGATAGGTAGTGATGTTTCAAGATACTCAAGTATTTATGGCAGTTAATTTCACTCACTCTTGTTCAGCTGAATGTGGCAAGAGGAACACAAAGACGCAAACCAATAAATGTCCAAACCATGAAACAAATGTTTGATCCAACAATATTCAATTTTACTAAAATGGATGAAGGTGAAATTTTGTTTCAAGTTTGGAACATTCATCGAAAAGATAAAAGTAAGTCTTCAAATTACAAACATTTGTTAGGGGCCGTCCAGATATTACTTAACGCTCAAGGGTGAGGAGGAGGGGTTCAGCTTATCGTTATGAGAAGGGGAGGGACTGTTTAAATATTTTGTTTAGGTAAACATTACTTTAAAACCAACTTCAAATTAATTTTTTTGACTTCAGGAGAAAATTTTACCTATATTTTAAACTCCAACCTTGTTTTAGTTTAAGAAAATATATGACATTGTTACTTTACTGGGTGTGGAGGAGGGGGGGGGGGTTTAGGCTTGCGTTATGCAGCGTCACAGGGGGGAAGGGAGAGGTTTAAAAATGATGAAAACTGTTTATGTAATATGTAGATGGCCCCTTAACTAGCTGTCGGCCAGTTCTATGAACAAAAATCATATTTTTATTTTTAGACTAGCTGTACCCGCGGGCTTTGCCCCGTTTTAACTTCTTAATTTTCAAGATGAGCTTGTTCGCATGGCTCAATCACGTCCTGGTTGAAGTGCGTTTGCTACGCTAACTCGCCTCCAGGTTGAAGTTCGTTCGCTACACTCACTCACCTTTTGGTTGCAAATTAGCTGTTGTCATAAATTAAAAATAATAATAATAGTGCTGCACCCTGTTGGCAATCCTTGTAACTTTAAAGCTATTGAACATCATAGAACAGAACCAACTTGTTTAATTGAAACAGCTGATAAGATTCATTAATTCTTTTTAAATATGAAAAATCATAAGGTTAACATGGGAAACTCCAGAGCCACTGGGGCGGAGCCCGAGAGTCCGATCAGAATAAAAACAACTTAGTTTTCCTATTTAATGCCTAAAGAATCGGTGTACCAAATTTCAGCCTCCTAGGTAAATGGGAAGTGGGAGAATTAGTGATGAGTGAGTGAGTGAGTGAGTGTGTCAGTGAGGGCTTTGCCTTTTATATATTTAGATACCAACCAGCTGTTTGAAGTGGTTTTGAATATTACTACTGTAACTTGCACCTTCCTTTTAGTACTAAAAATGTAAAAGAAACATTGATTAAATGTTTTCTTTTATTGTAATGTATTTTGTTTGTTTTAAACTAGTCTATATGTTCCACACTTGCTTTACATTTTCGATTACGCTATCGACAAACGGTTTGTCATTAGTAAAACTCTAACACAAAATCTTAATCTAAGTGACGCATTTAATTTAATCTTGTCTAATGTATGGTTTACTAAATGAAGTTTACAATTTTCAGATAATTACCTAGCGATAAATGTGAGTCCAATAGGTTTTGGCCATTCTCTGTTGGTCCCATCATTGTATGATTGCCTACCGCAAGTCATGACTGAAAATAGTTTCTTAACTGCTATTGAGCTTTTTCTGCTCAGCAAATCACCGTAAGTTTAAGCCAAAAATATTTAATAACACATAGGTTCAAAGTAGCAAGGTGAAAAATAAATAAAAACTTAAAGGAAAGAAGCCAAAATGGATGCTAGGCCAAATATTGCAAACACTGACTCTCATAATCTCTCGTAGGACAACTTGTGTCCAAGTGTCGGGGTAAAACTGTAACTTGTACAGATTCTGTTGGAAGTTTGTTCGTCCGTGTAAGCATTGCACTTTGTATACTATTATTGACAATATTGCATTAACTTTTATTTAGCCTTTTTGGCTGTCTCCTTTGGTATTGATTCTTTTAAGTCCTTTAAAATATCCCCATAAATTTTAAAATAATTGAGATGAAATATTAAATTCCCTTGGGTAACTTAACTGATTTTATGCTTACTTTTTATGTAAGTAATTACAGTAATGTTAGTCTGACTTAGATCTATTAATTGTTAAAATTTGATATTGAAGACACTGACTTCATATCTGCTGTAGCCTAATGTTATATTTGTGTTTGACCAATATATTGTCCAGAGCGTTGAGAATGGGGTTCAACGGATTGTGTGCCAATGCCTCTGTCAACCATCTTCATTATCATCTCTATTATTTGGAGGAGAAAATGATGCTAGAAACAATTGTGAGTAAAAGGTCTAAACCATTTAATTTTTTAAGACCTCCATTACAGTCAGTAATTGCTTGAAAGTTGTTGTACAGAACAGAATTTTGTTCTCATTTTTATACCTATCATCACAGAAAACATACTACTATGACCCAGAACGCCAACCGCATGGTGCATAGCAACGCTGGTGGCGCTGCCTACGAATTGACAGGCAAAGCTCTCTCAAAGCACTTAACGCTTTTTACCGTGCGGTTGGCATTCTGGGTTATAGTAGTATGTTTTCTGTGCTATTATATATAAGTTAACTCGATAATTCCCATCCATGATTTATAAAATAAACAAAAATGCATCTAAGCTACGATGCATGATACTCCTATCTCGATTGATTAAACCTAAAACTTCTAAATTATAATTAAAATTCAAAATTGTACCTAAATGATTATATTGTGAATTGTCATTGTAGGTGCATGATACAAGATTATGTGTTACAGAATGTGGAGCAATTGGCTGGCCCTTGTCACATGTTACTGTCGTTCCCGAGCAAAGGATTTGCATTCCAGCTGAGCAAAGGGCAAAATATTCCTATATTTGTAAGGTGAATTTTAGTTGCATTAAACAAGTATGATAGTTAACATTGTTTTTAATATATTATTTTTAATTCAAAGTCTTTTGCATCCAGATTAATGTATGTTTTTATAGTACAGTATTTTAAATTCACATTAGATTAGACCTAGACTTAACAGTCTAGGAAAGCAAACAAGAAAAAAATAAAGTTCACTTCATCATTTTGTGCACACAAGATTCACTAATTTCCGTAATTTACCTGTTCAAATTATTATCAGTTTAGTAATAAATTGCCTGTGACATACCCAAGACGGTAGACAGTAGAAACATAAATTTGAACATAGTGGGTTTTAAGTTTTTGTCAAAATTTTCAACAACAATATTTAAATCACAATAAAATTTGTTATACTATTTTAAATCTGTGCATTGTTTACTATTTTGTTAAAACTTTTAATTTAATTAGCGACCATACAAAGGTCTAAATGGGTTAGAATAGTTTTATTTTAAATAGGCTAAGTGTTATTTTGAACCTTCCCTAATGCACTTTGATATTTGTGATAAAAATTTAAGACACAAAACAGCAAAAATATTAGTTATTAGTTGTGTTTTCAGGGATGTCTACAAACTTGTGAACTTGCTTCAAGAAAGTGAAGTACCACACAATGTTACTGTGACCAGAGGTTCAGGGTTCCAAGAACAGAACCCAGGAGAGTCAAGGAACCACGTCAGAGTGTATGTGTGGGCTCGCAAACCTACGGGACCTGGTGAGCAGTGTAATCTAAACTACAGTAGAAGTCATCATAACCCGACCACCTACGGACTGAGCCCTGGCCAGATAAACCAATCAATGATAAAAACGATAATTTGAACCTTATATTGTCATAATTTGCAATCAGTAGATGTTGTCAAAAGTAGTATTCAATACATGATTCTTTTTTAGGAGACGTGTCTGTAACAAACAATAGAGAATTTTATGGAGGAAAAATTTGTTCGGTAACTAACAAAAATATCAATAATATAGATAACATAAAGTAATATCATTGGTAATATTTAGTGAGGATGAAGGAAAAAATTGCTCTCAAAAAATTAGCTTCGAAGATTATTATAATAACCTTATTGATAAAGCCAATAAGACTGGTATCTTCAGATTCATACGTGATTATTGTCTCTTCTTCTACATTGGCCAAACCTCATAAGATCCTTTTCAAAAGGTTTCAAAGAACATTTTTTCAAAAAAACCATTCAACATCAGCCTATGCCAACCATTTAATCTGTTTTAATTACAACCATCATAATTATACAAATCTAAATACAAATTTAGAAACTTTCCACCTCAGGGATTTCTAGAAAAGTCTAGAACACACTATTATGTAACAAAAATGAATAATAAAATAGACTATTAAAAAAATTTGTACTTGTTTCAGATAGAGATATTTTCAAATTCGTTGGTCCAGCTTTGTGTGAATTGTTTGGGCACTTGATGATCAAAAGTAAGTTTACCTTATCTATATAAATAAAATTAGAGTTTTGTCTGTACTTTGCTCAGAATTATATACTTTTAGGTTATTTTTACGTTTTATACATTAAAGAAGCAGAAACGAGTCTTATCTCTATTTCTGTCTGTCTGTCTTTCCCTTTGTCTGTAACACTCAAGATGGCATATTACGCAATCTTCTCCGTGAAAACCAGAGTACCTATCAAGATCCAAGTCATTTTAATGTATTCACTGGATTGGCGAGAGTGTCTTTAGTGATTTAAATATAGCCTCACTACTTTGTAAATAAAATTACGGACGTTCAAAAATGCAGTTTTGTGCGATTTTTGTCAAATTTTTGTTAAATTTTTATCACATAATCGTCTATGAAATAACGAACAGCTGTTCGGATCAATATTATTTTTTCTAGCTGTCAATGATATGTTTACAAATGTTGTTTACAAATACCGCAACCATTTCGAATCACGTTTTGAAAGCAAATCCCAACCAAGTGAGATTAGAAACGTTTTTCTTACATAACGGATTTAATTAATCGCAAGTGCAATAATATAGTCTAATAGTGTAACCGTAAATGAAATTAAATAACTAGACATCGTCCAAATCGGAACCAGAAATTCTTTGAGTATAAAATGTTTCTTGAGTTTTGACAACCAGAAAGAAGACCTTGAATCAGTGTTGTATAAGGCTGGGACACTGAAATGATCGTCGCCAATAGCTTACAAAAAAGGTTTCCACTCATTGACAGCGCTTCAATGGCGGTTGTGTAAAGTGTAAAGTAAAAAATCACAACTGCAGTGGGTGATTGTAACAGAGGTTTAACAGAGGAAATACTAAACTCGCTTTTCCAATGTGTCACTTTCTGTTTCTACTCACTGTGTGATGCAATCGCTGGACCATACAGCCAATAGGCCCATAGCTCATATCTTGGGTACGTAAGCCTACATATTTATTCATAACTAACTTTTTGACGACGATCCTTGATACCGGTACTTTTCCATAGAATACATGGCCTACCTACTTAAGAAATACAGGGTGTCCCGGAACTCTCTACCAATATTTTAGGGCATTGCTCCTGGGTAAGAAACATAACTAAATATCATATTTAAACTGTCCGGAAGTCCTTAGTTACTCACACAGCCGCCATTTTGTTTTTTTCAGTTATAAATTTTTTTCTAAAGAATGGTTAAACATACGAAATGGAAACTTTGCACAAACATTTATGACAACTAGACAAAGCTGCAAAAAAATTATGAAGATTTTTCAAATTCATAAAACAAAATGGCGGCCATTTAAAATTTGTGTAAAATCAATGGTTTTTGAGTTTTTTAAGAAAGAAAGTTTTAAATGGCCGCCATTTTGTTTTATGAATTTGAAAAATCTTCATAATTTTTTTGCAGCTTTGTCTAGTTGTCATAAATGTTTGTGCAAAGTTTCCATTTCGTATGTTTAACCATTCTTTAGAAAAAAATTAATAACTGAAAAAAACCAAATGGCGGCTGTGTGAGTAACTAAGGACTTCCGGACAATTTAAATATGATATTTAGTTATGTTTCTTACCCAGGATCAATGCCCTAAAATATTGGTAGAGAGTTCCGGGACACCCGTACAAATGACCAAAACCCCAACATTGTGTGATTTTCGTCACATTTCCTTCTAATGTTAATAGATATACTAATCATTGTTTAGAGAATGCGTAATCTATTAAATAACAAAAAGTTGTTTGGGTAAGGTTGTTTTTTTTTTCAAACTGACACCGATAAGTTTACGCTATAACTTTTTACGAGAAAATCCAAAAGCAAGAGATCAATAACCTCGGGACTAGATATTAATGTATTTAATTGGTCGGATGTTCTTAGGTAGGTTCTTACGTAGGTACTGGTTCTTTTCCTTAGAACCGTTGGTAGCTGCTAGAATCATTTTTACGTAGGTACCAACACATCACTGTAGTTTACAAATTAGTTATCGTTGGTGTTGCACCTTATTTTTTAGAGCCGTCCGTATTCAATTTAAGTAATGTCTTAATTTTGTATAAGTTTTGCTTTTTCTGTCTGGATTCCAAATCTTAGCTTACCCGGTATGCTAAGAAAATGATAACCTATTTGAGTAAAACATTTTTTTTTTTTCAGAAATCAGAAACGTTTTATTGTCCTTCAACATTTACAACAAATGCAATAGACAAAAGTCAAGAAAATTCAGCTATTACATAAACAGCCTATTTTTAGGCAAAACAAAACAAGCCTAAAAACAAGTCAAAATAGGCTATACTAATACATATGCTTACAAATAAAAAACAATGTGGAAATGTGAGGACATTAAAAGTTAACTTCGTCAACCTTAAAATATTCTTCTAAGTCATAAAAAGGATTTAAAAGTAACCAATCCTGAGCTCTTTTTTTAAATGACTTAAGGTCCAATTCTTTGGCATTGATGCTAAGCTTATTAAATAATCTTAATGAAATAACATGGTAACTATTTTTACATTTACTTAACCTACAATAAGGCACGTCTAATAGGAACTGATTACGTGTGTTGTGTGAATGGATATTAAACCTATAAACATGGGAACTAGTATTTTTCCTAACCCTAAGTAAACACATAAATATGTACAGATTAATCACAGTCAATATTCTACTTCTTATGAACAATGGTTTGCAATGCTCTTCAATTGGAGCTTTGTTTATTATTCTAACTACCTTCTTTTGGAGTATTAACACTTCACTTATGTGACTACTGTTTCCCCAAAGAATCAAGCCGTAGCTAATTATGGATTGGAAAAATGCAAAGTAGGCTACCCTTATGTAGGTTTCAGGTACAACACCCATAAGATTTCTAAGCAAACAGATTACTCTGGACAATCTTGCACAAACCAAATCTATCTGAGGAGACCAGCTTAAACATTTATCAATTTTTATTCCTAAAACTGTAATTACATTTTCATTGTTTACATCTTGTGACTCTACTGGAATGTTTTTAAGACTACACAATAGATTTTGAGTTTTATTCTTATTAAGACAAAGGCTATTAGCATTAAACCACATATAAGCTGAATCAGTTGTGAGCTCAGTTACTGACATAAGATCATAAAAGTTGGGATGAACACTCAAAAAATTGGTGTCGTCCGCAAACATGATGGTAGAGGATCTTTTAATATTGGCTGGTAGGTCATTGATGACTGTGATAAAAAGAAGGGGGCCTATAATCGAGCCTTGTGGCACACCTGAGCTAACTTTCAAGCAGCTTGACATCTTGCCTCCTGCATCAACGAATTGAGTTCTCTCTCTCAGGTATGAATCAAAAAACTTAAGCTGTATACCGCGGATGCCATAGTACTCCAGCTTAGTGATGAGTATGTTGTGATCAATACAGTCAAATGCTTTACTCAGATCACAAGCTGTGATCTGAGCAAAGCTCGACTCCTCAAAAGCTCTCAAAATCTTAGAAACAAGGTGGTCCAGGGCATCCACGGTAGACAAACTTTTACGAAAACCAAATTGAAAATTTGAAAAAATTTTGTTTGTGTCAAAAAAAGAACATACCTGAGGTTTGATGACAGCTTCAATGATCTTGCCAATTATAGGGACCAGAGAAATAGGACGATAATTTTTAATCTGTGATTTTTCCCCTTTTTTGAAAATTGGGATGACTCGAGAAATTTTTTGGGAGGTTGGGAAAACACCTTCTTTCAGACATAGGTTGATACAAAAGACAAGGGGCATTACTATTTCAAAGATAATGTGTTTAACAATATTGCTTGTGAGACCATACACATCTTTGCTTTTTGAGGATTTCATTTTTGACACTGCACTGAGCACATCATCACATGACACTTCATTCCACTCAAGTTGGGTGCTGGGCCTCTTCACTTGCTGCAGGAAGTGATCCGCAGGCAGGGGACTCACAGGAATGCTGGCTCGAACATCGTTTACGGAGTCGATGAAGAATCTATTGAAGTCCTCGGCAGAATGGTTGTTGCTGACCTCCTTCTTCTCTCCAGAAACTCGCCTTACTATCGTCCACGCTGCTTGGCATTTGTTTGCTGATCGCTCAATGAAGTCAGCGTTTGCGGCTAATTTTGCTCTGTTCGCAACGTTTTTATAGAGGTTTCTTAGTTCTTTGTAGGCACTGTACGAGGCATCAGTTCTAAGGTTCATGTAGACAGTACGGTAAGCCATAACTGTTTCCTTAAGTTTCTTGAGGTCATCACTATACCAGGCCACTCCACTTTTAGGCCTATTGTCCTTACGTCCGGAAATCTTCTTTGCGGTTAGGTAACTAACAGGACAAGTTAAGTTGAAAATATCAATCAGCTTGTTAAAAAAAAAATTGAAAGTCTCTTCAGCTGACTGATGGGCCGCACGGTTACTGTTCAGGATGTTAGGCCAGTTCACATTCCCCAGTTCAGCTTTAAAGTTGTTTAAGCACCTTGGGGAAAGACTGCGGTGCATAATTTCCTCAATATATGGTTTAGCAGCTTCTGATGCCGTTATTAGCCTCAACTCCAGGCCTTCGTGATCAGCTATGTCAGGGTGAACGATGTGTGTGGAGCAGGAGTTGGTCGGGACATTTGTAAAAATATTGTCCAGACAAGCTTTTTTGCGAGTAGGCTTGTCATTTAAGTAAACACAATCAAATTGCCTGAGTAGGTTAAGTAATCTTCTAACACTAGGCTGATCTCGGGTAACATCAAATCTTGAGTTTACATCGCCACCAATAACAATATTCATCTTCAATTTACTCAGGTGGATCAGTAGTAGCTCCAGATTATTCAGAAATATAAGTTCATCCCCTGCAGGAGAGTGATATATACAAACAATTATGATTTTAGGATTGTCTAAAACTATTCCCACACATTCAAAGCTTATTTCATGACAAAAACATTCAATGTCCAACACTTGGAAGGTAGGCCTAGTAGGCTTGCTATTATTGGCGAATATTGCGACGCCACCTCTTATATGGGTTTTACGACAAAATATCGATGAAAGCTCATAACCCTCAACGATAACATAACCTGCCTCGTTTGGGTTCAACCAATGCTCGCTAAGGCAGAGAAAGTCATACTGATTACTCACAGCATGTAGGCCTAAGATGTTTTCCTTGGAATGTAACCCCTGCACATTAAGAAACAAGACATTAAGGTTATCATTTACTGGGTTTAGGCTATGTTTGCCCCAGTCTCGGCCGTGCGTTGAGAGTTTAAATTGCGCCTTGGAAGTTTGAATTCACTGATGAAAGTGTTTTCCGGCCAAAAGTCCTCACAAAAAATGCTATCCCATAGCGATTCTGGAACACCAACTTTGAAGGAGTTATAGGTTGGATACTTGGTATTCAGCTTTTCAACAACATAATCGCCACTTTTGAATGTTGAAACATTGAAACATTACTTATATTTGTTGGGCAAACCATCATGAATTGTTTACGCCTTTATTTTGTTTATGTATCAATAGTTCGTGGCCTTTTTTGGATCTGTTGGTAACGCATTAATGTCCTTATTTCTCAGTGTTTCACGGAATGGACAAGAGCACCTTTGATACTGAAAATGTCAACCGGAATAAAGTGTTAAATGGTGAGGTTGAGGTAGTACTTTAAATACGTTTAAGTTAACCGATGTGGAAAGTAACTTTCAATTATAGGCCTACTTTAGGGCTACGCTTCGTGGATCTATAAAACATTTTTTAGTTTAATAATTGGACATATGGACCATAACGATCCGGGTGACATTTAATTGCGAAGCATTTATTTTGGCTTGAACTGTCAGATACTGTATTTGCGAAGGTTTATATATAATAGTTTTGACAGCATATCTGCAAATATGCAAACTAACTGCTGTTCTTAATCTTAATATAAGAAGGTTTTAACTGACTACTATAAGATCTTCGTTCGTAGAACGGGCACACAGCTAGTATACTGATAAAAAGCTAAACTTGTTGACTTTGTGTGTACTTTACATGAAGAAGACAAAAACTCTTAAAATTGCTTGAAAAATTGTAGAGGTTTCAGTTTAAAAAATATTCTTACATAATGAAATAAATGAGTTTATAAATAAACTAACATTGTTTGCAACTTAAATATATGGATTTTGGCCTCTGGGGACCTCAAAACTAAAAAGTAAATTGGTCCCGGGTCTAGGTCTTACCATGAGACTATTACCTAACAATTTATTTTTATGTATTAATTTCAAGTAAACTCCTTTGTGTTCAGTAGCTTAATTTATTTAATAAATTATCCTTATAATACATACACACTACTAAATTAAATATATTGTTTGAATCGTAGTTCATGAACGGGTTTTTTATTGCTAAGTTCCAACAAAACAATACGATATAAATTTAACTGTGCTTAGAAACACTATAAAAATTGAATCAAATGTTGTAAGATTGTCTTCAGAGGAATATGTGGAATAATCTTTGTAGAATTTTACTGATTTATTGAGTGATTTTCCAGCTCAAGAAAAGTTTGATTCGGTGACTGAAGACTATGTCAATGATGTGCTCACTGACCAAACAGAAGACACGTTTCGGTCTGTATTGGAAAAAGTCAAGCATCTTTATGAAGAATAAAAAGTTAAAAACGGAATAAAACTACTGTTGAATTATTCAAATACTATTGCAGTTTTTTCAACCTTCAACTAACGCTCCTTTCACACTATACGGTTTTCGCCGTATGGCTAAAAACCTACGGGTAATTTTTTGTTAGTGTAAAGAAGAGCATTAGAAGTACATGGTTATGGCGACGACAGAAAACCGTGCTGTCTTCCAGCCGTCCACAGCGACTGAATTGGACGGATGTCGCACCGTGGCCGTGCGTCAGTGGCATATGTAGTTAAATGCAAGCTTTCACACTGCACGGCTTCAAACGGGAGCCCACCAGCCAGTGACGCGAAATTTGGATTGAGGATTGAGTTATGTCTTGCCCAATAAGTTGTTTTAATGTGGAAGCGTATTTATAAAGCGTGTTTAGTAGTTTAGTTTCAAGATTCTTTGGTAATTACTAAATATAAGTTAGGAATGTGATTAGTTCTATGGATTGAATTTAGTTTAAGTTACAAGAAAAAAGAACACTTATTTCATCCAGTTTAGTTTTTATTGCAAAAGTTATTAGTTTATTTTCAATCACCAACAAAATATCATCTGTGTTATAAAGCATATGAAAATAATAAAAACATTTGTTATGTACAGTCTTATGGCTTAGCCACACTCCCACGGAACATAAAGAGAATTTTTAAGCCTTACTTTTTTGCGCAAGAGTTTCATCTGTAAAAGCTTACTTTTCTTCTCAGCATTTTTTTCGTTAGTGTTCTTAGAAAAGAAGTTTGAGTTTGGTGATTCATGCTTTTCAAAGGGGTGATAACCTTCGTGCTCTCTTTGTTGTTCTTTAGCTCCAAACCAGTGGTTTGGCTTGGAGCTTCAATGTTCTTGTGATGCGATACAGTAGTTTGGCTTGTAGCTTCAAAGTTTTTGGGATGCGACACAGTAGTTTGGCTTGGAGCTTCAATGTTCTTGTGATGCGACACAGTAGAATGGATTGGAGCTTCAATGTTCTTGTGATGCGACACAGTAGTTTGGATTGGAGCTTCAAAGAATTGGGCTGTGACACAGTAGTTTGGCTTGGAGCTTCAAAGTTTTTGTGCTGCGACACAGTAGTTTGGTTTGAAGTTTCAAAGTTTTTATGCTTTGACACAGTAGTTCGACTTGGAGCTTCAATGATTTTGGGCTGCGACACAGTAGTTTGGTTTGGAGCTTCAAAGTTTTTGTGCTGTGACACAGTAGTTAGACTTGGAGCTTCAAAGTTTTTGTGCTGTGACACAGTAGTTTGGTTTGGAGCTTCAAAGTTTTTGTGCTGTGACACAGTAGTTAGACTTGGAGCTTCAAAGTTTTTGTGCTGCGACACAGTATTTTGTCTTGGAGCTTCAAAGTTTTTGTGGTGTGACACAGTAGTTCGACTTGGATCTTCAATGTTTTTGTGCTGCGACGCAGTAGTTTGCCATTTCAAAATATTACCATTGAAAGTAGGAAGAGAAAATTTAGGTAATTTCATTGATGTAGTTTTGGGCATAGATACTGGTAAGGGAAGGTTCAGTGGACTCACCTGAATTAAATCCGTTTGTTCATTACGTTCAGTGACAGTCTGAAGAGGTCCCTTCTCCGAAAACGCGATGCTCACCTTAAGTTTCTCGGAGATTTCATCAAAGTCGAGCATCAGACAAATGTTGTCTTCAGTTACCTTTTCGTTTTCATCTTTTTCTTCAATAGGCAAATCATGTAGGTCCATTATTGATTTCGTCATTTCCTCAACTCGTCTCGCGTAAGTTGAAAGTACATTTAAGGTCGTTACTAGTCTCTTTGAAGAAATGGTAGTCTCATCGGCAGCTATCAAGTCGTTGGCTTCGGCAATTGCAGTCTTCAATCTTTTGCTTGCCTCAATGTAGTTCTTTCGTAGCCGTTGAGAAGACATTTCTGAGTTTGAACTATACCCTTTGGGGATCTCCAAATACGGGAAAAATTCCGTCAACGCTCTGCTACCATGACGCGAAATTTGGATTGAGGATTGAGTTATGTCTTGCCCAATAAGTTGTTTTAATGTGGAAGCGTATTTATAAAGCGTGTTTAGTAGTTTAGTTTCAAGATTCTTTGGTAATTACTAAATATAAGTTAGGAATGTGATTAGTTCTATGGATTGAATTTAGTTTAAGTTACAAGAAAAAAGAACACTTATTTCATCCAGTTTAGTTTTTATTGCAAAAGTTATTAGTTTATTTTCAATCACCAACAAAATATCATCTGTGTTATAAAGCATATGAAAATAAAAACATTTGTTATGTACAGTCTTATGGCTTAGCCACAGCCAGTGCAAATAGATCAGCCGTTGAAATTTTTATCTCTTACAATCTAACCTCTCTATTAGACACATTTAATGTTTATTGTGATTTTGTAAAATGTCTCGCTTTACAGTCAGATACCATGTAAAGTGAAAGAAACTTTAAAACACGTAATGTAAAGACACAATGTAAAATTGTTCTGTTTTCAACCGGACGGCGGAAACCTTATAATGTGAAAGGAGCGTAATTGTTCAGTATAATAAAAGCAAGGTGTTTGAATTAACATTTTTATCAAAAACCTTCTTGATAACTAGTAGAAAAAAGGGAAACCAAATTAAAAAAACATGAGTTTTATTAGCTAGATTCCAAGAGTAGTAATAAATTTCAAAAGCATTACTCAACATTGTAGGCCTACCATGTTATTTTTTTAGTTGAATAAATCTCTACTTAAAATTATAAAGAAGTAGTGGAATAGGCGGAAGATAAGAGAGAGAAGGAGAGGAGTTGTTGGTGCAGCCAAATCCCACCTTGGGCATAAATGGCCATGGGAGTGAGTGACTGAGTGAAGTAGTACATAAGTAGTCATATTTTAACACCTTTTATTATAGCTAACTTGATCTATATATTTTTAATATGTTAATTCTTATTTTAGATAGCTATTTTCATACCCAACATTAGCTCTCTAGGTAATAATATTCGTAAAAAATATACAGTAGAACCTCTTTAATCCAAACTAATTGGGACCGGGGGTAGTTTGGATTATTAAATAGTTTGGATTACAGAACATATTGTTGTTTTTACATAACAAAAGCTATAATGTAGCTAAAATGGCTCTTAATTGTTACAGGAAAAGTGAAAAAATTCTTTATAAAGTAAAATACAGTGTTTATTTAATACAGAAGTAAACATAGGGAATAAACATGACTGTACATAACAATAGAAACAATTACGGTGCGTACGTATTCAATAAATAACTACTGTACTGTGTGCAGAGTACAGTTCAATGAGGCGTTCGGAATAGTGGACGTTCGGATTACGGGGGTTCGGATTAAAGAGGTTCTACTGTACTTTATGATGAGTTTTCAAAAGAACTAGGCATACTCTAAAAAAAAATAGAAAAGGAAGGTGAGCTCATCATAGTTTGATAAATTAATAAGGAAGTATTCAAATGTAAAGTAGTTATAAATAAAGCAATAATTCGAGTGAGGATAAGCAAGTAATGTAAATGAAATATGATACAAAACAATATTTGATCAGCTATTTACAACAGAGTTTAACACAACCTATGTTTTCATTGATACATTCCAAGTTCATCTTGTAGTCTTACTTACTGTGAAATATGAGTGCTGCTAATAAACAATGCTTTACAGCAACTTCAGTATTTACTGAGGTAGATGAAACGAACACTAAGTCAAGGTAGAAAAACTACGTATTTCTATAACCCGGACAACCTGATATCGGGCCATTGAGAAATCCTAAGATCTTTAATGTTCTAAAACTATACTTCATCTTCATTCACGACTACACCAATATTAATGAGGTAGATAAGTAGTACAGTCAATCCGTATCCAACGTGGACAAAATTTGCATCCAGGGTATTTGTCTGAAATTTATGTTTTTTGGGGCGCTGAATCCGAATCTGAAGTTGTCCAACAAAGATTTCTTGAGCATTCCGAGATATTCGCAAAAAATAGCAAAATTTTAGCACTTTTTTCAGTTTTTATATTATAAGTCGAAAACTATGAATTCTAGAGAATTTTACCCCGGAACAAAATGGAAGGCAAAAAAATTTCTTTCAAAATGCACTATTCACACTTCAAAATCGATTAGAAATAACCTCCGCTAGAGGGCATTGAAAATTGGTTATTTTTCAGAATTTTATAAAATGGAAGCTTTTGGTCTGATTTTAATATTAATCAGCAAACACCCACACCCTTCCACCCTATAACTATCTCATTCCCCCATCAACCCCCTCCCCCCCCCCCAACCAATGTACCATACCATTCTTCCCCCCCTCATTCCACAGCGTTCTTTCTACTTTTCTTGGGCGGAATGTGATAAATAATATTAAAGAGGTGAAATGAAATGAAATGAAAAAAATGAAATGAAAAAAAACGTTTATTTATCCCAAGAATATAAACTAAAACAGAGAGTAGCTATACAACTAACAGTACAATATTTCTAAAATAAAATAAAATTGCCTTACTTATGGGATAGGCCTACATGGGCAGGTGCCTGTGCGTAGGCCTGGCAGTTATCAGTCTAGCAAATTGAGGGCACACACTAAAATTGGGAAGGTTTTTAAGCCTTGTTAATTAAACTTGATCGTTTAGCAGATAAGAGAATGTCGGCGACGACAACCAAAGCCAGTGCAATCTAAGACAGGAGACATTGTGAGGGCTAGGGGGTCGAAGGGTCAAGGATTGTTTAGTCAGGGTCAAGTAAGGTTAGGTCTGATCAAAGTTTCGGCCTCTTCATTGGTAATCGTGTGCAGTAAAACAAGCATCTGTTTTTTGAATTTCTGTATTGAGGGTAAACTAAAAATGTGTTGAATATTATATTTTTGAATTAGATTTCGATATAGAATCTGAGCAACATAAAAACAGTTGGTAGTTAGAACTGACTTATGTAGCTGAGGGACAGATATTCCAACATTGTGTGAATATCTTGTGTAGTGTTGATGTGTGACTGCTGTAAGGATCGTGTTTGAGTGTTTGAATGTGTGACTAAGAAGAAACTGAATGAAAATATGTCTGACTGGTAATA